GACGGGTTGTATGTTATATTGTAGGGAATGGTGGAATGTTATATTGTAGAGGATGGGTTGTATGTTATATTGTAGGGAATGGTGGTATGTTATATTGTAGGGAAAGGTGGAATGTTATATTGTAGAGGATGGGTTATATGTTATACTGTAGGGAATGGTGGAATGTTATATTGTAGGGAATGGTGGTATGTTATATTGTAGAGGACGGGTTGTATGTTATACCGTAGGGCAGCGGTTTTCAACCTGTGGGTCGCGACCCCTTTGGGGGTCGAATGACCCTTTCAAAAGGGGCGCCTAAGACCATCGGAAAATACATCTACTCTAGTTATAAAGTAGCAACGTAAATAATTTTGAGATTGGGGGTCACCACAACATGAGGAACTGCATTAAGGGGTCGTGGCATCAGGAAGGTTGAGAACCACTGCCGTACGGAATGGTGGTATGTTATATTGTAGGCAATGGTGGAATGTTATATTGTATTCAATGGTGGAATGTTATATTGTAGGGAATGGTGGAATGTTATATTTTAGGCAATGGTGGAATGTTATATTGTAGGGAATGGTGGTATGTTATATTGTAGGGAATGGTGGTATGTTATATTGTAGGGAATGGTGGTATGTTATATTGTAGGGAATGGTGGTATGTTATATTGTAGGGAATGGTGGTATGTTATATTGTAGGGAATGGTGGTATGCTATATTGTAGGGAATGGTGGTATGTTATATTGTAGGGGATGGTTGGTATGTTATATTGTAGAGGATGGGTGGTATGATATATTGTATAGGATGTGTGGTATGTTAAATTGTAGGGGAGGGGTGGTATGTTTTATTGTAGGGGAGGGGTGGTATGTTATACTGTAGGGGAGGGGTGGTATTTTATATTGTAGGGGAGGGGTGGTATGTTATATTGTAGGGGAGGGGTGGTATGTTAGATTGTAGTGGAGGGGTGGTATGTTATATTGTGAGGGAGTGGTAGTATGAGTTTTTGTAGGAGAGGGCGATGGTAACAAAGTGCTAACAAACAACTTGGAACTTTAGACCCGAGCGTGTGTCAAGAAAACTGCTGACTCCTGGTAACGCCATGCACTGATTCAGTGTAAGCTCCCCTCCCCCACCCATCCTCAAAACCCCCTTGAGGGACCCGCCTACAATGCATTACACTGGAGCGGTCCTTATCAAGTACAGCTTGACCCTCCTTCCCCCAAACAAGCACACATTATTGATTGGTAACACTACATTACAGCAGTCAGTTGGTGCCGTTCAGTTCGTTGACGAGCTATAAAGCAGCTTGGACAGCTGTAAAGCAGCTTGGACAGCATACACTTATGTCCGATCTTTAGAAAACTGGTTTGTCCTCTTAAGTTGCCTACACCACCATTCACCTCCATGAGATCCTAATGAAGCCAAATGTCTAAATGTTAAGAGCACGTCTGCCGCCTGCCTTACGGTGCGTTACTTCTCATCGCCGCAAGGGTAACATTATATCAACATTCGTCTATTTTGTCTATGGTTATTTCAACTCTTCCAACGTTTCTGTTACCTATTTGCCAACCGCTCCCCGCCCATTCGACACGCCTCTGACTTCGTTTTATTGAATGAATCAACTATTCATTTTGGCATATTTAAGAAATCGATGATTAAAATAGTTCATTCGTTCAACGCATGAAGGTGAACGGATTTAAAAAGGTCACACCTCTGATCTACGTCCACACACCTCCCTCCCAACACCCCAAACCTTTCCTCCGCCCCACACACCCCCACACACCACCTCTTATATACGTTGTGTCTTTTACTACATTTCTCCATCCACCACACAAAGTTGTTTGCTCAATGCAGGACGTAAAGGGTTATACTTGCAGCAGTGAATACGCATATAATCAATTTATTGAAAAGTGTTATACTTGCAGCAGTGAATACGCATATAATCAATTTATTGAAAAGTGTTATACTTGCAGCAGTGAATACGCATATAATCAATTTATTGAAAAGTGTTATACTTGCAGCAGTGAATACGCATATAATCAATTTATTGAAAAGTGTTATACTTGCAGCAGTGAATACACATATAATCAATTTATTGAAAAGTGTTATACTGGCAGCAATGAATGCACTTCTAATCAATTTACTGAAAAGTGTTATACTTGCAGCAATGAATGCACTTCTAATCACTATTATTGAAAAGTGTTATACTTGCAGCAATGAATGCACTTCTAATCAATTTACTGAAAAGTGTTATATTTGCAGCAATGAATGCACTTCTAATCACTATTATTGAAAAGTGTTATACTTGCAGCAATGAATGCACTTCTAATCAATTTATGAAAAGTTCCCCTCATTAATGTTTTTGGACACGAGTTGGCAATTCAGAGGGTTCAAGGGAAAGGCATTTTAAGAACAGAATAGACATTAGCTAGGATCTCAATTTTTATATTATTTTAAACAATTCTTCGTTAAGATTCTTTCAATGTTTAACTGTATGGCAGATTTAGTTTCTAAGCTCTTCACCTCTCTCTCTCTCTCTCTGCGCTTCAATATTGAAATGAATTTGAAGTCTATCATTTTAAAACGCATTTTTAATTTTCAATGAGGTCAAACAATTCGTGGGAATGAGAGGCTAGTCAAATGATTCGTGGGAATGAGAGGCTAGTCAAATGATTCGTGGGAATGAGAGTCGCGTCAAATGATTCGTGGGAATGAGAGGCTCGTCAAATGATTCGTGGGAATGAGAGACTCGTCAAATGATTCGTGGGAATGAGAGGCTCGTCAAATGATTCGTAGATGGCGCGTAGTATGGACGAGGCTGGGAAACACTAGTCTTGTTTAGACAACACTTTAAAAACCGACGGTGCTACTCTCAATAAGTTGAATGGATGTAGGCATATGGTAGTAACACAATGATCGGAATGTAGGCATATAGTAGTAACATAGTGCTGGTAATGTAGGCATATGGTAGTAACACAGCGATGGTAATGTAGGCATATAGTAGTCACATAGTGCTGGTAATGTAGGCATATGGTAGTAACACAGCGATGGTAATGTAGGCATATGGTAGTAACACAGCGATGGTAATGTAGGCATATAGTAGTAACACAGTGCTGGTAATGTAGGCATATAGTAGTAACACAGTGCTGGTAATGTAGGCATATAGTAGTAACATAGTGCTGGTAATGTAGGCATATAGTAGTAACACAGCGATGGTAATGTAGGCATATAGTAGTAACACAGCGATGGTAATGTAGGCATATAGTAGTAACACAGTGCTGGTAATGTAGGCATATAGTAGTAACACAGCGATGGTAATGTAGGCATATGGTAGTAACATAGTGCTGGTAATGTAGGCATATAGTAGTAACACAGTGCTGGTAATGTAGGCATATAGTAGTAACACAGCGATGGTAATGTAGGCATATGGTAGTAACACAGTGCTGGTAATGTAGGCATATAGTAGTCACATAGTGCTGGTAATGTAGGCATATAGTAGTAACACAGCGATGGTAATGTAGGCATATAGTAGTAACACAGCGATGGTAATGTAGGCATATAGTAGTCACATAGTGCTGGTAATGTAGGCATATAGTAGTAACACAGCGATGGTAATGTAGGCATATAGTAGTAACACAGCGATGGTAATGTAGGCATATAGTAGTAACACAGCGATGGTAATGTAGGCATATAGTAGTAACACAGCGATGGTAATGTAGGCATATAGTAGTAACACAGTGCTGGTAATGTAGGCTTATAGTAGTCACGTATTGCTGGTAATGTAGGCATATAGTAGTAACACAGTGATGGTAATGTAGGCATATAGTAGTAACACAGTGATGGTAATGTAGGCATATAGTAGTAACACAGCGATGGTAATGTAGGCATATAGTAGTAACACAGCGATGGTAATGTAGGCATACTGTAGTAACACAGCGATGGTAATGTAGGCATATAGTAGTAACACAGCGATGGTAATGTAGGCATATAGTAGTCACATAGTGCTGGTAATGTAGGCATATAGTAGTAACACAGCGATGGTAATGTAGGCATATAGTAGTAACACAGCGATGGTAATGTAGGCATATAGTAGTAACACAGTGCTGGTAATGTAGGCATATAGTAGTCACATAGTGCTTGGAAATAATAGACCCCTCAGATAAATTTAATTTCTTGACAGCACTGGTGTGGGTAGATAATTGGAAATGGGGCAACATATTTGTCCACTTCGAATACCAGGCAACATTTGTGTCCACTTCGAATACCAGGCAACATTTGTGTCCACTTCGAATACCAGGCAACATTTGTGTCCACTTCGAATACCAGGCAACATTTGTGTCCACTTCGAATACCAGGCAACATTTGTGTCCACTTCGAATACCAGGCAACCATTCATGTGGATTGTGTTGGTTTGTGTGTATGTGTGTGTGTTGATTTTCGTAAGTGAGAGAGATGTCAAAGTAAACAACCGTCCATGCAGTTACAACTAATTCCCCCTGACGTTTAATTGCGTCATGGGGTGGAAATACACTCCGTCATGGTGTGGCAATAGAATCCGTCATGGTGTGGCAATAGACTCCGTCATGGTGTGGCTATAGACTCCGTCTTGGTGTTTGCAGTAAAATGGATCGAGCTATTTTGTCTCGTAATTGATTTGTTTCTTTAGTTAATTCTGTATTTGCCGCTTTATGACTTTCAGTGTTGATGAATTTGATGTATATCGTTGTTTTTAAGTGTGTGTGTGTGGGGGGGGGGGCAGGGGGGTGTTTGGGGACGGGTTGGTGATGAGGACCATGTTGTGAATTTCTTGAAATGGTACTGGGCAACTAATAAATAATTAATTCTGTATTTGCCGCTTTATGACTTTCAGTGTTGATGAATTTGATGTATATCGTTGTTTTTAAGTGTGTGTGTGTGTGGGGGGGGGGCAGGGGAGTGTTTGGGGACGGGTTGGTGATGAGGACCATGTTGTGAATTTCTTGAAATGGTACTGGGCAACTAATAAATAATATTACTAATAATAATGGGTGGGTTGATCGAGGCACCAATTAGTAACACAATTAATGAGGCGTTGAGAAGCAACAGTTGCTTTGCATGACTGTGACAGAAATGACGCTTGAAACAAAAACCAAAAGAATCAACCTCCTGACCTCTGAACCAAAAGAATCAACCTCCTGACCTCTGAACCAAAAGAATCTACCTCCTGACCTCTGAACCAAAAGAATCAACCTCCTGACCTCTGAACCAAAAGAATCCACCTCCTGACCTCTGCTGCGTCGACAAGCCATCTAAAAGGTTGTGTAAACACCGGTTACCAACAAAGGTGCTCATAATGTAAGCATACACATAATGTACGTAGCCCGTATGTAAAGTGAAACTTAAAGATGCGGCGTTTTAACTTTACTTCTTCGATTCACTTGTTATTCTAGGCTTCACAAAGACATTGGACTTGAAGGGGAAAAATTGTATCACCAGTCTTACAATTACTGTAATTACTGAGAGAAACACTGTTTCAAATGAAACATTAATGTTAGAAAAAAGATTATATTTCAAAATTAACCAATGAATATAAGTACAAAACAGACAGGCAATTACCTGTAAAGATAATGTTATTCACTTCACCCATCAGGCTGGTACGCGGATCCACTGGCTGTAAATCAACCTGGTTTGTTGTTATAAATTATTTCTTGAAACGGCCCCCACTGGCTTGTTCAAGGGAATATGCGTAGCCTGCAAATGACATGTCTAGTGTTACGTATAATAACATGTCTAGTGTTACGTATAATAACATGTCTAGTGTTACGTATAATAACATGTCTAGTGTTACGTATAATAACATGTCTAGTGTTACGTATAATAACATGTCTAGTGTTACGTATAATACAAAGTTGTTAAATATAATGAAAATGAATAACGAAAAGCGAAAACAAAGCGAACAGAGGTTAAGATTTGAAAACGTTTCAGTTTTACCAATTTAAGCAATTTTAGTCAAACCGAAGAAACAAATAGTCTAGTCTATGTTTATATTATTGTTAAAGAAATGTTTATAATATAAAGTAGTCTCACTTCTGTGAGTCATGACAAAATTGAGTTAAAAATAATAATTATAACTAGTAAAGGATACAGAGTAAATGCTTAGTGGGTTTTAAGTATACAAACAACACACTGATGTAATAGGTGTAAACATTTAAAATTTAATTCTTAACTATTTTTACAAAGTGTTTACTTGGCGTACTTATTGTAAATTATATTTCTAAAGTCTCAATGCTTCTAGAGGGTTGCTTTATTGAAAACCGTTTTTAAACAAAAATATTTGAAAGATCCTGCTTAAAAAATAATCCAACTGAGTAGTTCACTTAACTTACCTTATCGAGGAGTCACTGGCCAGGTAGGCAACGGGGTATAATACGGAAAATTCAGGCTCGCTATGCTCGCACTGGATATTTTCGGGAATTTACGGTAGTTAACGTGTAGTTGCCTGTACCGAGGGTCACACTGTGTTGCTATGGAGCTGAGAAAACTTCCGGCGGAGCTTTAGCGAGTGTTTCTTCATCCACAGATTTGTTTACAGTGTATGTTCAAGCTGAGAAGACTATACAAGAAAGGTAAATTGTGTAAAGGGTGTTATTCAACATAATCTTATTGAAGAGCTCTTTAAGATGATGCAAGAAAGTCAACCTAAGTAAAATTAATTGATGATAATGTCATTTAAATTTACTGGTTTTGTCAGTTTTGAACACACACAAAATTCCTTTTACTTTTGACACTTTTGTTATCTGTAGTTAATAGTTTATAATTTATATATTATACTTATTTATTATATATGAATAATTAAATATAATTACCTGTCAGTATATTTATTTATAGCCTAAAGCCTAGTAATTTATTAATATTTCTATGGATATTATAAGGAATAAACTATATGGCATATGCTGCCTATAATTTATAACTGTGATTCAGTATGATTGTAAAAAAATAGCCACCAATGACAGGTGTGCGGGGGGGGGGGGATTTTAGCCAAATGCAGTGTTTTTTGGGGGGGGGAGGGGGAAAGCAGCAAAACATTGGGTGGCACTTACCCTAAAGTCTAAAGTTACATTGGTAGGCAATGGGTGGCACTAACCCTACAGTTACAATTACATTATCCAAAAGGGGGGGGGGGGGGGGGGGGGGGATTTTAGCCAAATGCAGTGTTTTTTGTGGAGGGGAGGGGGAAAGCAGCAAAACATTGGGTGGCACTTACCCTAAAGTCTAAAGTTACATTGGTAGGCAATGGGTGGCACTAACCCTACAGTTACAATTACATTATCCAAAACAGGGTGGACAAAATCTTATAGCTATAGCAATACAGTTCAGTTACATTATCACATTACTATGATTGTAACATTAGTGCAATATCGCTAAATAATGTAATTGAAATTGTAAAGACCCTACTCTAGTGATAGTAATCAAACTTCTGCTCCGGAACTTCATGCAGCTTTTGCAAGTAATAGTCATTTTAAATTCAGATATTATTATTTGTATTACTAATTAATAATAACATGTGACCCCTGAAATATTTTCTTGACAGATGTGATTTATAAACCCTGGTCTAGGCCTTCAGAGCATAACTGCATCTTTGTGTGTGCTAACTGTAGGCCTACTCTGGTATATTGGTATTTCTGCTTTCAAAATTTAGTTGTTCGTGATTTCCCCTGACTCTCGCTGTATCTTCACTGTTACACATCAATCATTACCTTCTCTGCTACAGTGTGACAGTGTCAATCATCACCTTCTCTGCTACAGTGTGACAGTGTCAATTATTACCTTCTCTGCTACAGTGTGACAGTGTCAATCACTACCTTCTCTGCTAAAGTGTGACAGTGTCAATTATTACCTTCTCTGCTACAGTGTGACAGTGTCAATCATTACCTTCTCTGCTAAAGTGTGACAGTGTCAATCATTACCTTCGCTGTTACAGTGTGACAGTGTCAATCATTACCTTCTCTGCTACAGTGTGACAGTGTCAATCATTACCTTCTCTGCTACAGTGTGACCGTGTCAATTATAAACTGCTCTGCTATAATGCGGTAGTGTCAATCGTATCATATATTTATTTTTAGAATTTGGCCAAGCGGCTCTGAGCACATATTGACCCTTCTTTGCTGAGAAAGTTTATCAACTACATCTGTTAAAATTACAGCAGTTTTTTTTTTCCTTCCCAGGATGGAGGCCCAGTATTTAAAGGAGAATCTTGGCTGTCTCACACAGTGCCTCAAAGAAGTTGTTGAAAAGCATCCACATGATCCTATTGAGTTCATAGCTTTCTGGCTCAAGAAATACATCGAAAATGAGAAATATAAAGCAAAGGTAAACACACACACAAAAGAAAGAATCCATTTAATGCATTTACAAAGCAGTTCAGCTAATGCCACTATCTTGTTTGTAATACAAGTCTGGGGGCACTTCTTCATGGTTCACTTGTTAACTCCCAGTATAAGACTTTAATGAAGCTCAAAAGGAAATAAAGAGCCCACAAAATGCATTAAAAGGCATTTGTTTTCATTATCCAAACATGGTCCAGGACAAGATACCAAATACTATTTAGTTCTTTGAATGCAGCTGTCTGATAGGGCAAAGGGAAGATGACACACAAAGGCAGTAAATAATCCACACACTCTAAAAAGGCTGATTAAAATTTAAATAAGAAATTCATTTTGAAATGATAGAGTTGAAAATTTGTGAATCTTTGTTAACAGACTTTCAAAAAATGTACTGATGAAATTCATTTGTTAAATTTATTGTTTAGCAAGCAGAAGAGGCCAGACAACTAGAGAAGGAGAAAGAATTGGAAGCGATTGAACAAGAGAGGAGAATGAGGAGAATAGAGGAGGCCAGGAGACTAGCAGAAGAGGAGGCTGAAAGATTCAAGGTTTGCACCGAAAATGGCCAAAAAGAGTTTCATTTTACATTGATATTTTATATTATTATATCCTGGTTGGCCTTAAACTGGTCCACACAAAGAAATATTGGCACAAAATCAAATGACTGTTTAGTTAGAGCCTAAGATGAAAATAAGTTAGTACTCAACTTTATGATCTTGTTACCCAGTTAGGGTACAGGAAGTCAAACGTCTCACCTTGAGCAGTTCGACCCAGATTCCATAGCATTTAATGCAGTATGACTTCGATGGATTTTGTCCATGATCCAAAAAAACCTGGCTGTTCAATCTATGAAATACTTAACCCGTTTGAATATTATGATCAACCCTTTTTTTTAAGATCAATAATGGAATCATATTTTTGCTTACAGCCAAAGACATATAGCATATTTTAAAATCAAATTATTAAAGACTAATTATTAATCTCATCATTCAATAATAGAATATTGATGAATTTTCATAAAACAAATTGTTAAAGAATAGTTATGGAATATTATATTTAAGAAAAATGATCAAGAGGCGTTTTAAATGTCTCATTTTTATTTTAGTTAGTTTACATGTTTTTTATAATTTTAAAGCGCTTAGAGCTTTAATGTAAGCGCTATATAAAAATGCCTAAATAAATAAATAAATAAATAAAAGAAATGAAAATTCCATCTCGATGAAATTTTACATCTGTCAACAAAATGTTGGTTGAAAATAATATGAACCACACTTGAAAAAAAATTAAAATTAGTTTAACATTCCTGTTTGAGATAGATTATCCTTCAGTAATTCTTCTTTTTATTATTTAATTTTTAAAAAAAATCACTTTTGTTCCTATTTCCTTAAATTTCATAATATATTTTTATTTCCCTCAAATATAGTCTACAATTATTATCCTCTTTGGATGAAGATCTTATAAAGTTATGATATCCAGCTGGGATGAAACCTCTAATAGAATTTTTTTTTTTTTTTCATTTTGTTCCAGGCTGAACAAGAAAGAAAAGCAAGAGAAGCAGCATCTGCCTCCAAACTTCCCATCGTAGAAGAGAAAGATGAACCTGCCGGTGAGCCAGCTCCAGAGGACGACACACCTGGTGACCTCTCTGGAGATATAAAGGAAGAAGAGGGGGTGAAAGATGAAGAGGGGAAGGATGAAGAGGTGAAGGATGATGAGGCTGAGGGAGAATCTAATGAACAAGTGAGTATAAAGAATTTCAAATTTAAAAAAAAAATATTAGATCTTGTGTTTTAGTCGTTTCCTTAAATATATAACAACTTTGTTTGGTAATAAAAAAAATAACAATTCCATTTATGCAGAGCAATAATCCTTTTAAAAAAAGTTGAATCAAGATTTCTAAATGTGTTGGATGATGTGAATTATAAAGAAAAGTAAGTTTAGGTATGGTAACTGTTAGCAAAAAACACAATGTCTGGTATATTTTACAACAAAGCACAACCCTAAAGATTCAGGAATCACAATGAACTCTTTACTTGTTCACCTATTCTAAATAAAATTAAAATTTTGAAACTAACTGAGAAAAGTTACACGGCATATGATGGTCGATTTTTTTTCGCTTTGGAAATACTCTTGTGTTAAATTGTTCTAGTTTAAAAATATTTGTCTATTTAAGAACATTTATGTATGTGCTTAAAGTGAAATATGTACATTAAAATAATTGTTTCTATTTATGTTTGCATCAATATGATAATCTTATCTTAAATCTTTTCAAAAGGAGTTATTATCAAGTATTTTTTAATTACAAATAACCAAATATTTATATGCTCTTTAGGATGGGGAGAAAGCTGAAGCTGAGGAGGGAGAAATCGGGTCACCTGAGGAAACAAGTGGGACGACCGAGGATTCGTAAAATGTATTAATGAGATGTAAATATGATGTACAGTGTACGGAATACTTGTTCAAATTTGATGTAAAAAGACAGCACACAGTTAATCAGGCGTTCATAATGGGAGCAAATCATTCAACCCTTATTCGTTTACTCAGTTTTTTCCCTTAGTAAATTTAAGCGTTTTTGTTGTCACTGAAGATCAAATGCCATTGATAAACAATTACGAAGAAGAATGCATTTTTAACCTACATCCAAAGTTAAAGAGTCTGCAAATTAACATATTGTTTTGTTTTTTTTTATGTTGAGGATCGTGTTATATGGTGATATTGATGTAATTGTAAATGAAAAATATAAAAAAATAGTGTCTCTTTAAAGATGTGTTGTAATCCTGTTTATAAATTTAAAGCTCTGTGGAAGAAATGTCACATAGTGTTTCTGTACAATAACACAGTCAAAGTATGATCAGTGCTTATTTCAGTAATTTTCAACCGGGCAAGGGTTCCATGAGTGCCAGCCAGGGGTTCTGCAGGTGGCCAGTAAAAATATAAAAATGACAGCCGAAATTGCCGGGGAGCAAGTCTGGCACTACTAGCACCATACAGTAATTAGTAGTCTTTTTTATCCACTTAATTTCTGTTTCCTTTGTTGTCCTTATGAGCATTTAGCTTTTGAATAACTTTTCATAGCACAATTTTGTTGCACCACCATGGACCGATTTATTAAGAAGAGAAAATTAGCAGATGGCACAGCTGACAACCAAACTAAAACTCAGGAGCAGTCGACGGATGCTACTGCTAGTACCATGTCATGTGAGCAGAATGTGACAAAAATTGACATTGTTGATCAGAATTAAAAGTTATTCAGAACAGTGATAATGACTTAGCTATGGGATACACTTGGGCAGGAGACTCATTTGGAATAGAACAAACCCTTGTGCCACTGCATGGGGTTAGCATAGAACAAACCCTTGTGTCACTGCATGGGGTTGATGTAGAACAAACCCTTGTGTCACTGCATGGGGTTGACATAGAACAAACCCTTGTGTCACTGTATGGGGTTGACATAGAACAAACCCTTGTGTTTCGTTTGGAGTTCCGCGAGCAATCCAAATGCCCCTTAGGGTTCCACTCCAATAAAAAGGTTTGAGAAAACACTGGCTTAGTCAAACTGAATGCCACTAACTGTCAGTGAACAAAGATAAGTTTGGCCTGTTGCTTTGTTAATCCCTGTTTCACAATACCTATAAATAATTAATTAAATCATATTTCAAGTTAGCAATTCTATAGTGATAAAAAGGATGAGTTTCTTTCTACTCTTTTTTTGGTGTTCATTTGATTTAAATTGTATCTAACTGGTAACACACAGATTTCACATAGAAAAGGCAAATGTTAGAATGTAACTATATTTTTACAATACCATAATTTTAAAACAGTGTTGTAAGTCAAGAGCAATAACTCTAAAACAAACATATATATATTTCCACTATCATTACTATTGGAACTTTGTATTATAGGATGAGGTTTTGGTGACTTTCATTAAATACTTACAAAGAGGAGAAAAAAAATGTGTTATTGTAAAATAAATAAAATATATTTACATTGATAGTTATGTTCATTGATTTATTTTATTAAATTGCTTTAGTGATTAGTTGAATAAGCTATTTCATTGAATTGGTTTAGAGATTAATTGTAAAGATATTTTTATTGAATCGCTTTAGTGATTGGTTGAATATGTTTAGAGATTAGTTGTATAAGTTATTTTACTGAATTAGTTTAGAGATTAGGTGTATAAGTTATTTTACTGAAATGATTTAGAGATTAATTGAATAAGCTATTTCTTTCACACACTTGAACTAGCAAGACTTCTCAGCCATAGTTAAATCAGTAGATTTCGATGACCCTGGTACATATTAAGCCTCGATCTGGAATTTGTTCGAAGTGAAATTTGTTAAACGACGATTTTTTCCCCCACAATGTTTTTAATTTTTTAAGCACATTTGCGATTGAGAAAATGGTTACATGTAAACTATTTAATAAATGTATTATTTTCTTTGTACGTTATATCATTTTCAACAAACTTCTGCTCAAAAAAATTTCTGTTTGAAAAATTTTCTGTCCAACAAATTTATTTCTAAAAAATTTCCAGTAACCATGAAGCCTTAATATTTCTAGGATGCAATTAGTGGATTAAACAAGTGTAGGAGCTAGAAGAATCTGCCAATCAATATGGCGTACACTCAGGGATATGTCACAAGACTCGGGTACCATTGACATACATGTTGTGCCATGTGTATTAAAGTTACCTAACTTGAGAGACACTGAAGATGTGTTGTAATGGGGGTTATGTCATATCACTTTAAGGCCACTGACTATTATGTCGTGCCATCAGTGTTGCGTCACTACACTTGATGACCACCGACGTCACTTGAGCTATCAATTTAAAATCAAATTAAATGACACACAAGAGCTTAATAGTCAAGTGGTCACCAATACAAAGGACTTCATCTGATATCACCTGATCTAGGACGTAGAGATGGAATTTAGGGGTTAAACAGCTAAGAGCTCTTTGGGAAATAAATTCAATGTTATAACAATTTCACGTAACCCAATTCTCTTACTTAATGAAAGATAACAATAAAACTTAACCCACTTCTCTTACTAAATGAAAGATAACAATGCAACTTAAACCAATTCTCTCACTTAATGAAAGATAACAATGTAACTTAACCCACTTCTCTCACTTAATGAAAATGAAAGATAACAATGTAACTTAACCCACTTCTCTCACTTAATGAAAATGAAAGATAACAATGTAACTTAACCCACTTCTCTCACTTAATGAAAATGAAAGATAACAATGTAACTTAACCCACTTCTCTCACTTAATGAAAATGAAAGATAACAATGTAACTTAACCCACTTCTCTCACTTAATGAAAATGAAAGATAACAATGTAACTTAACCCACTTCTCTCACTTAATGAAAATGAAAGATAACAATGTAACTTAACCCACTTCTCTCACTTAATGAAAATGAAAGATAACAATGTAACTTAACCCACTTCTCTCACTTAATGAAAATGAAAGATAACAATGTAACTTAACCCACTTCTCTCACTTAATGAAAATGAAAGATAACAATGTAACTTAACCCACTTCTCTCACTTAATGAAAATGAAAGATAACAATGTAACTTAACCCACTTCTCTCACTTAATGAAAATGAAAGATAACAATGTAACTTAACCCACTTCTCTCACTTAATGAAAATGAAAGATAACAATGTAACTTAACCCACTTCTCTCACTTAATGAAAATGAAAGATAACAATGTAACTTAACCCACTTCTCTCACTTAATGAAAATGAAAGATAACAATGTAACTTAACCCACTTCTCTCACTTAATGAAAATGAAAGATAACAATGTAACTTAACCCACTTCTCTCACTTAATGAAAATGAAAGATAACAATGTAAGTTAACCCACTTCTCTCACTTAATGAAAATGAAAGATAACAATGTAACTTAACCCACTTCTCTCACTTAATGAAAATGAAAGATAACAATGTAACTTAACCCACTTCTCTCACTTAATGAAAGATAACACTGTAACTTAACCCACTTCTCTCACTTAATGAAAATGAAAGATAACAATGTAACTTAACCCACTTCTATCACTTAATGAAAGATAACAATGTAACTTAACCCACTTCTCTTAAATAATGAAAGATAACAATGTAACTTAACCCACTTCTCTCACTTAATGAAAATGAAAGATAACAATGTAACTTAACCCACTTCTCTCACTTAATGAAAATGAAAGATAACAATGTAACTTAACCCACTTCTCTTAAATAATGAAAGATAACAATGTAACTTAACCCACTTCTATTACTTAATGAAAGATGACAATGTAACTTAACCCACTTCTCTTACATAATGAAATATAACAATGTAACTTAACCCACTTCTATTACTTAATGAAAGATAACAATGTAACTTAATCCACTTCTCTTATATAATGAAAGATAACAATGTAACTTAACCCACTTCTCTCACTTAATGAAAATGAAAGATAACAATGTAACTTAACCCACTTCTCTCACTTAATGAAAATGAAAGATAACAATGTAACTTAACCCACTTCTCTTAAATAATGAAAGATAACAATGTAACTTAACCCACTTCTATTACTTAATGAAAGATGACAATGTAACTTAACCCACTTCTCTTACATAATGAAATATAACAATGTAACTTAACCCACTTCTATTACTTAATGAAAGATAACAATGTAACTTAATCCACTTCTCTTATATAATGAAAGATAACAATGTAACTTCACCCACTTCTCTCACTTAATGAAAATGAAAGATAACAATGTAACTTAACCAACTTCTCTTACATAATGAAAGATAACAATGTAACTTAACCCACTTCTATTACTTTATAAAAGATGACAATGTAACTTAACCCACTTCTATTACTTAATGAAAGATGACAATGTAACTTAACCCACTTCTCTTATATAATGAAATATAACAATGTAACTTAACCCACTTCTATTACTTAATGAAAGATGACAATGTAACTTAACCCACCTCTCTTACATAATGAAATATAACAATGTAACTTAACCCACTTCTATTACTTAATGAAAGATAACAATGTAACTTAACCCACTCCTCTTACATAATGAAAGATAACAATGTAACTTAACCCACTTCTCTTATATAATGAAAGATAACAGTGTACCTTAACCCACTTCTCTTACATAATGAAAGATAACAATGTAACTTAACCCAGTCCCTAACTTCCCACGCCCAAAAAGATTGAACAATTGAACAGGTTTAAAAACATGTCGGCAAATAGCTTTCGGACATCTACTGGCACAATTGTCAATTGTCACCATAGACCGTACAACTACTGGCACAATTGTTAATTGTCACCATAGACCGTACAGCTACTGGCACAATTGTTAATTGTCACCATAGACCGTACAGCTACTGGAACAATTGTCAATTGTCTCCATAGACCGTACAACTACTAGCACAATTGTCAACATAGACCGTAGTTATCTGCTCATTAGCTGTCCACTGTTTGATGTTCACTGAGTCATGTCAATTCATTATGCAATAACAAATTAGATCTAAACATGTATTCTAAACCCCATTATCAAATGATTTAATATTCTAACTCTAACCGACATTGGTGTTGTGATACGACCGACCGGCCTTTGAAAAGGTTACTTCAGCAACACAACGGTGGGAACAACATGGGTTTGCATTCTGTTCATGAGGTCACTGAGAACAAAATGCCTGAACCAACACTCAACAAATATTTGAAATGTGTGTATATATTGGAATAAAGATACAAAGTTACACTTTATTTAAAAGATCTTACATTTTGTTAAAAGTCAGCGATGACAACATTTGGGTCAACCATAAATTAAACATAAAATCACGTTCGTTCTTTGTATAGGGAATGGTGTTGACAGAACATTGACGTGATTCAGCGGATGGTGTTGACTGAACATTGACATGATTCAGCTGATGGTGTTGACAGAACATTGACGTAATTCAGCTGATGGTGTTGACAGAACATTGACATTATTCAGCTGATGGTATTGACAGAACATTGACATGATTCGGCTGATGGTGTTGACAGAACATTGACATGATTCAGCTGATGGTGTTGACAGAACATTGACATGATTCGACTGATGGTGTTGACAGAACATTGACATTATTCAGCTTATGGTGTTGACAGAACATTGACATGATTCAGCTGATGGTGTTGACAGAACATTGACATGATTCAGCTGATGGTGTTGACAGAACATTGACATGATTCAGCTGATGGTGTTGACAGAACATTGACATGATTCAGCTGATGGTATTGACAGAACATTGACATGATTCAGCTGATGGTGTTGACAGAATATTGACATGATTCAGCTGATGGTGTTGACAGAATATTAACATGATTCAGCTGATTGTATTGACAGAACATTGACATGATTCAGCTGATGGTATTGACAGAACATTGACATGATTCAGCAGATGGTGTTGACAGAACATTGACATGATTCAGCGGATGGTGTTGACTGAACATTGACATGACTCAGCTGATGGTATTGACAGAACATTGACATGATTCAGCTGATGGTGTTGACAGAACATTGACATTATTCAGCTGATGGTGCTGACAGAACATTGACATGATTCGACTGATGGTGTTGACAGAACATTGACATTATTCAGCTTATGGTGTTGACAGAATATTGACATGATTCAGCTGATGGTATTGACAGAACATTGACATGATCTAGCTGGGAGTAAGGGGCGATATTTGTTAGGAGTTAACAGTATTCATTTCTCATTGTCAGTGTTGAGTCTTTAAACGTGACTAGTGACAGAAGTTTAGAGTGTTTTCGAGCCCGGGGAAAACATTAATTTTTACGCTTCCTTCAACAATGAAACCCATTATTTTTATTTTCATCAATAAAATCTCATCATAGCTCATTTTGGCAGTCCTTACTAGTCTGGCACCTGGGGGACAACATCAGCCTCCGTGCCCCCTCTTCGCTCCGCCACTGATCAGTGACAATCTGTATCAAATCTTATCTAAATATTCAGCAATCATTTTATGAGCGTCTAAGCTACTTGTCAAATCTGGTTTATGGACAGTCTTAATATTGTACATCGACCAAGAAGTAAAAAAAAACTATTGAAATTTAACCTCCCTTCCCATCCACTTCAACAAGTTTTGATCGAACAAATGGACACTCTAATGCGGTGACAATGGAGTGTTCTACCAGTGCTTGTTTGCCCATGTTCTGAACAGCTGTGAAAAGGCATTTTAAAA